CTAGCTACTGCCAATCCCTTTCTTTTTTTTTTATTTGAGTTGGAGTCTCACTCTGTCGCCCAGACTGGAGTGCAGTGGCCGCTCCTGGCCACCGCAGCCTCGCCTGCTGGGCTTCGGCAATCCTTCCGCCTCAGCCTACCAAGTAGCCGGAATTACAGGCATGCGCTACCATGCCCGGCTGATTTTTTGGCTTATTGTAGAGATGAGGTCTCGCTGCCCAGGTGGGTCTCGAACCCGCAGGCTCAGGCAATCCACTCACCTCAGCCTCCCAAAGGCGCAGGATTACAGGCTGAGCCACCGAACCCGGCTAATCCCTTTCTTATAGTATTATGACAATTGTTTAGGGTTCGCTTATGAGTGAGAACGTGTAATACTCAGTTCTTTGTTTCTGTGATAGAACACTGAGAATGATAGACTCTAAATCCATCCAAGTTGCTGTGAAGTCCATAATTTTGTCCTTCATTATGGCTGTGTAATATTCCATTGTGTATATGTACATTTAAAAAATCCACTCCAGTTTCAATGGCAGCATGGTTGGTGCCATGTGTTTGCTATTGTTTCTAGTACTGCAATAAACATGCATGTGCAGGTATCTTTTTTGCAGAGTGACTTAAGTTCCTCCAGATATATTCCCAGAAGGCACAAATGGTCTTTAGCTTTGTGTCCTGAGAGCTTGGGAGCAGCAATAGCCCAACAGCAATGCGCACATTTAGGCTAGGATCTACCTGGATAGTACCAGGGCTTCTCAGAGAAGCGGCTAATGCAGATGGATACAGAACAGAATATGAGCCTGGAGTAGGTCACAGTGTCAGTGAGGAAGCATGAGAGGATGATGGAGACCCCTCAGAAGGACATGAGGCCAGCCTCAAGGAGCTGCCACTAGCCAAACTGGGGACAAACTGAGCATCAAAATGAATGCCAGTATGTGATCGTGACAAAATAGGACTCTACATACAAAATACTAAGTGAATATATGGAAATTTTAGTGAGGACTGGAGTATTTACACAGACTTAGAATACCTCCCTACAGAATACTTCTTACAAAGGGAAAAGGAAGTCGGGCATGGTGGTTCACGTCTATAATCTGAGCACTTTGGGAGGCTGAGGTAAGAGGATTGCCTGAGTCCAGGGGTTCGAGACCAGACTGGGCCGCTCCCGGCCACTGCAGCCTCGACCTGCTGGGCTCCGGTGGTCCTTCTGCCTCAGCCTTCCAAGTAGCTGGAACTACAGGCACGCGCCACCATGCCTGGCTAAGTTTTTGATTTATTGTAGAGATGAGGTCTCGCCAAGTAGCCCAGGCTGCTCTCGAACCCATGGGCTCAGGCAATCCTCTCACCTCGGCTTCCCAAAGTGCTGGGATTATAGGTGTGAGCCACTGTGCCTGGCCAACACCATCTTACTGATGATCAAAGTTAGCATCACAAGTAGGGGACAGATAGCACCCATGCCACCCAACCAGACTCTGGATGAGGAGAACACAGTGTCATTTTGATGCTACCTAGCGAAAACATAATAGTGAGGAAACATCAGACAAACCCAAACGGATTTTCCAGGGGGTTGAAGTCATGAAAGTCCTTGACAGAAAAGAAGAGGACTGCCAGAGATGGGAAAAGACCAAAAGTCATGGTAACTACATGTAACAGAAGATTCTGACCTGAGTCCTTTCGCTGTGAAGGACATTAACAGAACAACTGGCAAGACTTGAATAAAGTCTGAGGATTACATGGCAGTTTCATGTCGGTGGTAATTTCCTGACTGTGAGGGTTGTCCTGTGGGTCAACAGGAGACTGACCTTGTTTGTAGGAAACACGCTGAAACATTTGGGTGTCATGGGACATCATGTCAGCAACTTACCCCTAAACGGTTCAGGAAGAAAATGTATTTGTACTATTCTTGGAACATTTCCGCAAATATATGGCTGTTTCAAAATAAAAAATTAAGTACACACAAACAGACCTATGAGAACAAGTGCAGACCAATCAAGTTACAATGGCTCTGTAAACCAAGTAAACTGTAAATTTCCAGGTTAGAAAGTAAAAAAATTAGAACAGAATTACAGCACAGTCTGGCTCTTATGAAAAAGGAAAGTGTGGTTAAGATAATAAATAGAATGTTGGCTTCTACCTGGGTTAAGGAGTGACACCAGGAAGATGCTTGATAAGCTATTTCTTTGAGATCTAAAAATTGACCTCCCATATGACCCTGCAATCCCTCTCCTGGGAATATACCCAGAGGAACTCAAATTACTCTATGAAAAAGATACCTGCACACTCATGTTTATTGCACCATTATTTGCAACAGCAAAAACATGGAACCAACCGTGCTGCCCATCAAAAGAGGACTGGATTTTAAAAATGTGGTACATATACAGATGGAATATTACACAGTCATAAAGAAGGACAAAATTATGAACTTCACGGAAACTTAGATGAACTTAGAGGCTATAATACTGAGTGATCTATTATAGAAACAAAGATCCTAAGTATCATATGTTCTCACTCATAAGCGGACCTTGAACAATTATCATAATACTATAAGTAGTAGCCGGGCTCGGTGGCTCAACCTGTAATCCCGCACCTTTGGGAGGCTGAGGTGAGTGGATTGCCTGAGCCCGTGGGTTCGAGACCCACCTGGGCAGCGAGACCTCATCTCTACAATAAATCAAAAAATCAGCCGGGCGTGGTAGCGCATGCCTGTAATTCCGGCTACTTGGAAGGCTGAGGCGGAAGGATCGCCGGAGCCCAGCAGGTCGAGGCTGCGGTGGCCGGGAGCAGCCACTGCACTCCATTCTGGGTGACAGAGCGAGACTCCAACTCAAAAAAAAAAAAAAAATACTATAAGTATTGTGATTTCATAATGCTATAACTATCATAATATTATATAAAAGTATCATAATACTAATATATAATATACATATAAGTATCATAACACTATAACTATCATCATAAGTAGTGGGGGGGTGGGACTGGCAGTAGTGGGAAACTGCCAGGGGAGGAGGGGCACACCTCATCAATAAAGGTACCTGCATAATGAACATCTGTATACCTAACTGAATTGTACCCCACATATTTAAAATAAAAATTTTTTAATTAAAAAAGATCTTTATTTGAACTAATATGGTGCCCCAAATCTGTTTTTGTCTTTGTCACAACAACAAAAAATGTCAAGCTAAAAGAATATCATGCTCACCTAATGAGATAACACCTCACACCTACTAGGATAGCTATTATCCCCAAAACAGAAAATAACAGGAGTTGGTGAGGATGTGGAGAAATTGGAGCTCTGGTGCATTGCTGGTGGGAACATAAAATGGTGCAGCTGCTGTGCGAAACAGTATGGTGTTTCCTCAAAAAAATAAAATGTAGAATTACCATACGATCCAGCAGTTCTACTTACTGGCATATACTGAGAAGAACTGAAAGCAGAGTCTTAAATATGTATTTGTACATTGTTCATAGCAGCACTATTCATATTAGCCAAAAAGTATAAACAACTCAAATGTCCATCAAAGGGTGAGTAGGTAAACAAAATGTGGGTCTATACATACCATGGAATTTAGTCAGCTTTAATAAAACTCTGACTCATACTACAGCATGGATATATCTCGAGGGCATTATGCTGAGTGAAATAAGCTAGACACAAAAGGACAAATACTGTATGTTTCCACCTATATGAGGTCCCTAGAACATCACCTACTTTCTTTTTTTTTTTTTTTTTTTGGGTAGGATTCTCACTCTGTCATGCAGGCTGGAGTGCAGCGGCATGCTCACGGCTACCGCTGGGCTCAGGTGATCCTTCCACCTCAGCCTTCCAAGTAGCTGGAACCACAGGTGCGCGCCACCACGTTCGGTTAATTTTTTGGAATCCCAGAGTGCTGGGATTACAGATTTGAGCCACTGCGCCTGGCTGACCTTTCATTTTAACGATATCTTCATCTTATTTGGTGGCGTCTCTTGTAAATTATCTTCAAATTGTTATCAACTTTGACCAAGTGATCAAGGTCAACACCAGCAGAGACAGGACATACTGAAGGTCACCCTCCAACACAATGTACTGAGATGGACATACAACCTCTCCTTGGGATTCCTGCCCAGAATGCACATTTTTTTATTTATTGTAGAGATGAGGTCTCGCCAAGTTGCTAAGGCTGGTCTCTTGAGCCCGTGGGCTCAGGCAATCCTCTTACCTCCACCTCCCAAAGTGTTGGGATTATAGGCATGAGCCACCACGCCTTGCCAGGATTGCTTTTTAAAAATTTATATATATACATAATTTTTTTTTTTTTGAGTCAGAGTCTCACTCTTACCCAGGCTGAGGTGCAGTGGCAAGCTTGAGCCCGTAGCCTCGACCTGCTGGGCTCAGGTGATCCTTCTGCCTCAGTCTTCCAAGTAGCTGGAACTACAGGCATGTGCCACCACGGCCCAGCTATTTTTTGATTTATTGTAGAGATGAGGTCTTGCCAGGTTGTCTAGGCTGGTCTTGAGCTCCTGGACTCAGGCAATCCTCTTGCCTATGCCTCCCGAAATGCTGGGATTATAGGCATAAGCCACTGCACCCAGCTATTTATATATATATTTTAATAAACAGGGTCTCACCATGATGCCCAGGCTGGTCTCAAACTCCTGGCCTCAAGCGATTCTCCCACCTCGGCCTCCCAAAGGACTGGGATTATAGATGTGAGCCACCATGCTTGGTGCCACAAAGCAAAATCGCTGTTATTGAATTTTCTAATTCTGACATCTTTCCTTGTACCACAGCACCTTTTAGGTCTTGCACCTAGACACAGCTGCTTGTTATAAACTACAAAATCAATCAATGTGACACATCAGAAACCAGGGCAGTGATAAGGTAAAAACAAAACATCTCAGTCATCCACTGGGAGAAAGAGATGTCTTGAGCAAAATGGCCCCACAAGGCACATCAGGGCCCAGCCAGGACCAGAGGGGCACACGGCTGTCCAGCCCTGGCCTCGCACAGCAAGCATCTTCTAAACAGCCTACCTGTCTTTTCCTTGATCTCACAGAGCACACTGAAGAGAGCAGGCTTCATCCGATGGCAATTCAGAGCATGCTTTCTGAAAGACAGGCGACACAGGTGTGGGTGAGAAAAGGCAGCATGTTCCCAAGAGTAAAGTTCCTCCATCCTGAGACATCAAACCAAACTGAGTCTGCTGGTTCTGACTATTGATAATCCCTCTTAGGAAGTGCAGTCCAATCACATTTCTTATGAATCCGATGTGTGCACAATTAAAATAAAGCAATGTAAAAACATCCAAAACACTTTCCATTATATGGAGAAGTTGAAGCATGCAAACAATGTAAGTGTGTGTGTGTGTGTGTGTGTGTGTGTGTGTGTGTGTGTGTGTGTGTGTGTGTGTTTTGAGACAGGGTCTTACTCTCTCCCCTAGGCTGTAGTACAATAGCACAATCACAGCTCACCACAACCCCAAATTCCTGGGCTCAAGTGATTCTCCTGCCTCAGCCTCCTGAGTAGCTGGGACTACAGGTATGCACCACCACACCCAGTTAATTTTTCTATTTTTTGTAAAGATGAGATCTCACTATGTTGCCCAGACTAGTCTTAAACTCTTGATCTCAAGTGATCCTCCCGTCTCAGCTCCCAAAATGCTGGGATTATAGGAATAAGCCACTGTGCTTGGCTAAGAATGTAAATTTAAACATTATAAATAACTCAGTAAGAACTACAAAATTTCCAGGTACAGAGATTTGAAAGCTGTGACACACTACTGCCCTATAGTGTTATACTGAGGAGCATAAGCAGAAATACCAGCCATTTTTGCCCAGTGTCATGTGAGGTTAACCTAGCACCTACTATGTGCCACACACCACTCTAGCGTCAGAGACACAGACAGTTGAGGTTCTTACTTATGTGGCAGTTAAGATGGAGGGGTTGAAGACACCAAATATACACACTAACAAGAAACCCATCAGCCATGGCAGATGCTTTGTAGTGAGTGACTAGAGTCACATGATAGAGGTAGCTAGAAAGCTTATTGAAGTTTGCATGTCTCTGAGGTGATATTCTGATCTGAGTTGAGATGGGAATGACAAGGAGAAATCAATCAAGAAGAGGGCTGAGGAGGGGTATAATTTAGGCAGGGGAAACAGTCAGTGAGTATGAGGGCCCTGTGAGAACACACCTGGCTGTTTGAGACCAGGGTGCCTAGGGTAAGGTGTGAGGGAGAGATCTATGAGAAGTTAGAAAATAGAAGTGGGATGGGCTCGGTGGCTCAGTGTAATCCCAGCACTCTGGGAGTCCACGGGTTTGAGACCAGCAGAGGCAACTTGGTGATATCTTATCTCTACAATAAATAAAAAATTAGCTGGGCATGGTAGTGCATGCCTATAGTTCCAGCTACTTGGAAGGCTGAGGCGGAAGGATCACCGGAGCCCAGCAGGTTGATGGGCTCCAACTTGGGCGACAGAGTGAGACTCCAACTCGAGGAAAAAAAAAAAAAGAAAGTAGAGGTGGACACTAAAAGCCTTTTAAGTCAGCGAGATGACTCTGGCTTTTGCTTGTCTGTGATGGGAACTGTGATCCGCAGGATAATGATCCCCAAAGACATTCACACGCTAATACTCAGAACCCCAAATACGTTGCCTTACAAATGGGAAAAGAACTCTGCAGTTGAGTTTGAGATGGAGAGACTAGCCTGGATTATCCAGGTGGGCACAGTGTCATCAAATGAGCCCTTAAAAGTGGAGAACCCTTCCCAGTTGTGGTCAGAGAAAGAGCTATAAGCCTGGGTAACACAGAGAGACCCCAACTCTACAAAAAAATTTTTTTTAGTTAGCCAAGCATGGGGGTGCCTGTAGTTCCAGCTACTCAGGAGGCCGAGGTGGGGGGACTGCTTGAGCCCAGGAATTCGAGGCTGCAGTGTGCTGTGTCTGTGCCTCTGTACTCCAGCCTGGAAGACAGAGTGAGACCCTGTCTCAAAATAAATAAAGAAAATAAAAGCAAAAATGGAAAGAATTAGACAGTTTAAGGGTCAGAGTGGTCCTGTGTGGCTGCCTTTGATCATGGAGGAAAGGACCACGAGCAAGGAATGCAGGTGAAGAAACAGACTCTCCAGAAATTTTAGAAGCCCTGCCAATATGGCCCTGCCCACACCTGGGTTTTACCCAGAAAGCAAATGTTGGGCTTCTGACCTTCAGAATTGTAAGATAAGACATTTGTGTTCTTTAAGCCATTAAGTCTGTGGTAATTTTTTTTTTTTTTTTGCATCTGAGTCT